TGTGTCTGTGTGTGTGTCTGTGTGTGTGTCTATGTGTGTGTGTGTCTGTGTGTGTCTGTGTGTGTGTCTGTGTGTGTGTGTCTGTGTGTGTGTCTGTGTGTGTGTCTGTGTGTGTGTGTCTGTGTGTGTGTCTGTGTGTGTGTCTGTGTGTGTGTGTCTGTGTGTGTGTCTGTGTGTGTCTGTGTGTGTGTCTGTGTGTGTGTGTCTGTGTGTGTCTGTGTGTGTCTGTGTGTGTCTGTGTGTGCGTGTGCGTGTGCGTGTGCGTCTGCGTGTGCGTGTGTGTGTGTGGCTGTGTGTGTGTGTCTGTGTGGTGTGTGTCTGTGTGTGTCTGTGTGTGTCTGTGTGTCTCTGTGTGGTGTGTGTCTGTGTGTCTCTGTGTGTCTCTGTGTGTGTCTGTGTGTGTCTGTGTGTGTGTCTCTGTGGTGTGTGTCTGTGTCTCTGTGTGTGTTTGTGTGTGTGTGTTTGTGTGTGTCTCTGTGTGTCTGTGTGTGTCTGTGTGTGTGTCTGTGTGTGTCTGTGTCTGTGTGTGTCTCTGTGTGTTTCTGTGTGTCTCCGTGTGTCTCTGCGTGTCTCTGTGTGTCTCTGTGTGTCTCTGCGTGTCTCTGTGTGTCTCTGTGTGTCTCTGTGTGTCTCTGTGTGTCTCTGTGTGTCTCTGTGTCTCTGTGTCTGGGTGTCTGTGTCTCTGTGTGTCTGTGTGTCTGTGTGTCTGTGTGTCTGTGTGTCTGTGTGTCTGTGTGTCTGTGTGTCTGTGTGTGTGTGAGCGAGTCTGTGTGTGTGTGAGTATGTGTGTGTGTGCGTCTACGTGTGTGTGTGCCTATGTGCATGTGCTTCTGTGTGAGGCTTACATGACGCTATCCCAACTACGCATTATGTTTATATCAGTTTCTAAAGTACCGAGCAGGCAGCAAATGGGCTGCCGCCAAAACCCTCATGCGCGAAACTGTAATCTGGTTCCGACCCTTTTGGTGGTAGCACGAATCCAACCATTGCTTAGTGCTGACTGCCCCCCAGCTAACATCCCAATCCCTACTAAAATAGACTAAAATGGGTGGTAATGGTACACCTGCCCCTAAAATGGTACTGTTGGTTTTGACAACCACAGCCATTTGTTTGTGGGTCTCGGGCTTGACATTGGTCTCGCGCGGGGCCCCAAGCGATTGGCATCAGCTGCCAAGCCGCAAACCAATTCCACTTCCAGTCTGTGCCGTAGAAGAGGAAGAGCCGGTGAACCAGGAACTTGAGCAGCAACTCAATGACCTCCGCATGACCCCCCCCCCAAAAAAAAAAAAAAGGAGCAGGGATCCGTACAGTGTACACCTGAACATTGCAACTTGTAAATGGTGGTTTCCCTTTATTTTGGTGGAACATGCCATGTTTCAAATGGTTGCAAAATGTATCTTTTAAGGAGCCCTGTGTAGAGCAGGTGGCCAGAACGACCCAAAGAGATCCATGGGAATTGGAATGCACAGCTAAGAGATGGACAGGTGCAACCAATTCGTCTTAGGGACCCGGGAAAAGCCAGTTCAGCCAGCCGGGGTTCAGCCGGCTGAAAGCAGTTGCTGGCGCTCTCTCTCTTCAAGCGGCATAGAAGGCGGTGAAGGACAGATCCATGGCCCGCAGCTCCACGGGGACGTCAAAGCTCTGGTTCTCCATAGACCAATTCCTGAGCTTCCCAGATTTGTCTCGACTGCCTCAAGGCAGACATAAACCTGGTGTCAAGGCTCTCAGCGAAAGGGACCCCCCTGAAATTTACGTTTATCTTGGGGTAGTCACAAAGTGGAACCCTGCCTGAGAGCATTGGGTGAATGACACTTCTACCCTGCCAGCTTGAGGTACTGATTACTCATGCGAGAGCCTGGTCAAACTTCCAAAAAGGTGCAGCGCGGGCAGAGATGGCTGCACCAAAACCCTGCACCCCTCATAAACATCAAAATAGGTGGTACATGGGTGTTCATCCGTTCATCCGCCCCAAAATGGAGGCATAGGTTCTGACCCATGGCCATTTGGAACGGAGGCCCGTTGAGCTTAGGAGCGCGGAAGCCAACAGCGTCAGGCAGTTCAATAGGATCACGGTTGTGGTAACCTCGGGTCCCCAAAGCTCGCCGTGCCGGCCGCAAGCCGAGCAGCCCAATGTTAAGCCCAAACATAGGTTTCAACGTGGCATGTCATGGCAATGTTAAGCCCAGGCAACTTTGACATCGATTTACTTACAGCCTCACACATGTGCTTGCTTGCTTGTCTGGATTCTCCTACTTGCCCTCCTTTCGCTCTCCGCCGGGCAGCAAACTGGAACGCAGCTGAATCCACGAAGTAAGCGAGGCAGCCCTTGCGTGGGGGCTCCTGCTGCTGCCACAGCGTCTCAACCTAGGCAGCAAATCGGCCCGAATTCGTGGCGAAAACTGGCGTGCCCAGGTGCCAAGTTCAGTCACCGTGGCCGCTTTTGAGGCCCTCTACAGCTGCAGTGCGGATTGGGAGTGGCAAAAGCAGCGATGCAGCGCATGTTGCAAGGCGAGGTGCTTTGTCAACGATCCAGTTCAGGCACGATCCTCGGACACGGATGGGCATGCAGGCCTACAGAAACGTGCAGCGCTGCATTCAAAACACAACATGTAGAAATACACCGCTTCATACGCGCCAAGCTTCGGCAGCCAACTGCCCCAAGGACGTAACCAAGCTTACTGTCATGCCGCAAGTAGCGACGATACGTCTGGCTGTGCCTCACACCAAATGCGAGACAAGGTCTTGTGTGCGGCGACCAAGATTCGCACAAACACACACACACACACACACACACACACACACACACACACACACACACACACACACACACACACACACACACACACACACACACACAAAACACACTGAAGTGCGTGTTTTCAAGCACAGCTGCGACTCTCTTGCAAACACCGGCATTGTATGTCTGCGCTACGTCTAGGCCTAGCAAAGTTGATTGGTTAGGCCGCGCGTCTGACAATTTATTGCTGCTTCTCAGAGACAGTTCTCAAACCCATAAGTGTCCGTTTAGGGGCAATAGATGGCCCTGGTAGATGATTAAACCACTAGGTGAACCAGGAATCGCCATCTATCTTTCGACCAAAACAACCAAAAAGGACACCTATGCTCAAACACGGCTAGACTCAGTGCCTGAAGTTCCGCTGCGAAGTGGTCGTGGCTTTCTGGAACATCCTTGGTGCATCACATACGGCCACATGCCCGAGTCACGTCGGACTCCTGCTCAAATGAATGTGCAAGGTGGGACTGCCGTGAATCATTGTTTTGCCTCCCAGGCACTCCTGCTTCTCCTCGCTCATGCGCAACATTGCCCCCGAATGAATGGGGCTGAACGTAGACCACTCCTGCGCACTTTGCTACCTGAACCCACGCTGCATGTGCAAAATGATACCTATGACGTATTGTGGGCGTCTCTTTTCTTGGACAGAACCCCAAAATGGTGGTGCTCCTCCTGGTTTCCTGGTTAAACTGCGCAAAAAACCCATCCAAAACGGGTACCCTCAAAAGAAGGACAGACCCACATCGCTTCCATTGAAACCTGGCGCCGTCCTCGCGAACCGGGCTCGTGCGACTGGTGCTTGGCCTCGGGCGGCCCGATTGGGTGACCCCATGGCTTGCCCTGGAAGATGGAAAGGACGAGCATCTGCGGTCCATATCTTGGACCCGCTGCTCTGCCTCTCTCTCTCTCTCTCTCTCTCCCTCTCTCTCTAGGAACATGGTGGAGGTCTCGAAGACATGACGTTGCAAGTTGTCAGCGGAATGATCTAACAAGGTTTCGAGTGCTTCATTCCAAGCTGCTCTGGGCTGTCGGTCTCGACAATGGTCGTGTCGTGCGCCGGCAGCTGCAACTGATCTATAAGCGTCATAAAAGCGCTTTCCTGCACCGCACAAGCCCGCTTCAGAACGTCTGCCAGGGCTTCTTGTTTGACACATTTTGACACTACTGCAGGCCCTCCATGACCCTCCTTATCTATGTTTTTTTCCTGACTAGCAAGCCAAATAGATTGGTCTTCGCATTCAGTTCTCGACAAAGTCTCGGCCGATGTTTTCTTGCTGCGAACTCAACCCTTTCGATGGGAACTCTGAATCGCACAATGGGGGAGGGTCATTTCAAGGCTGTGCATGAGTTTTCATTAGGGACCCTTTGGTGGACATCAGAATTCGGTGCGGATTCATGTCCACCTACCACTTGTGAGGCGGTTCCAACTCTTGAAATTCATAGCCAGATGTATTGACGGCAGCTTGCCGCTTGCCTTCTCTGCCATCACCGCTGTCACCTGAGAGCGCAAATGCTCCCACTGGCTCCGCAGCTCTGTCCGCGCGTCCAAGTGCAGGGTATGCACTTGCTCCATTGGCTCGGGTGGCTTTGGGCTGGACATGTTCAACTCACGTCCTGAGTTGATGGCCCCCCCTCCCCCTCAAAAAAAAACACTAAAAAATATTTACCACCAAATCAAAAAACATAATAGTTACCACCAAAATGGCCTTCCCAGAAAGAATAAAAAGTCCAGGAACTCATCAAGTGAGCCAAGCACGAAGTGCACTCAGTGAGGTCGCTGAACTGGGGGACGGAAGGGAGCTAACATGAGGCCGTGTTGCGCTTTTTTTCTCAGTCTGTGGGAATGTGAGCAGCTACTTCTCTTAACCCGTAGGCCCACCAGGTTGAACTCTCCCTGCGAAAGAGATGAGGGCGTGCTAGTGCCAAACATCAACTGAGGTGGGTCAACTGTTCTTGAGCCATATATTCCGACGGGAGCAACCCTAGAGATCGTTCCCTCGCACGAGGGAGGCGACATGCGTCACTCTCAGCAGCCTTGATTGCACCTGCACACTCGGGCCCACACCCGGCCATTGTGGTCCAGGTCCAACTGAGCCACGTTCGGTGTGCAGTGAATAGCTTGGACAGTGCGAGGTCATAAAGTGACCAGTTGATATCAAGTTCACAACCTTCAATGGGCGATGGACAATCCCCTTGCCGGTGCCACGCAGTCAGCCAAGGAACCATTCTGAAGCATTGCTGCATCGATGAAAACCGCGCAGCTGCCTGCAGCCAGAATGCTCAGAAGCAACCATGCTGCCGCAACAGCTAAGCTGAACCTCCGGCACGCTCGCGCCTTTGCACCGATCAGCTCCAACAAGCCCTGGAAGTCCGTGTGTAGCTTGGGCTCCTGCACCTGGCATCAATTCACGATCCGGATGCGGTGAATACACCTGAACATTGCAACTTGTAAATGGTGGTTTCCCTTTGCTTTGGTGGAAAAAGCCATGTTTCAAATGGTTGCAAAATGTATCTTTTAAGGAGCCCTGATTCACCAGGAAGCTTCCTCTGGACATCTTGCTGTCGCCTCGACCCGCGGACGAGCTGACTGGGGGCGAGCTGACTGGGGGCGAGCTGACTGAGGGCGAGGGATGTACCTGACCCACGCGCAAATGTCCGGCTCTTGAGAAAGGCTGCATCTCACTTCCTGGGCGGATTGGCCCCAAAAGTCCAAACTTGTTACTTATACCACCAAAATGGCCTTCCCAGAAAGAATCAAAAGTCCGGGAGCTCAGGAAGCGAGGCATTACTCGCCCCCTTTCATATTCTGAATGGCCGGGGCCATCCCGGCGCTTGGGCTCACTGCGCTGAGGCCGGGCGGCCCAACTCCTGGGACAAGCAGCGGGCGAGCGCGGCTCGCGGCCGCAAGCCGCAAGCCGAAAGTCCGAGCCGATGGCGCGACATGGCGCGACTTTGGGGGCGATGGAACTTGGGGCGACATGGCGAGTTGGCCGCGCTTCTTCATGCTCAGTTGCAGGCTCTCGCTTGTGCCGACCGAGTCGAGGAAGCAGTGTGTGGCCTGGACGGCCTGCACATGCTCCGAGCTTCATGATGGAAAGAAACAGTTCCCCAAAAAAAGTTGTCCCCCCAAAAAGCTGTTCCCCGAAAAAGTTGTTCCCCCGCACGAAAAATCAGAAACCGGTCAAGCACGCCGGCAAGGCGGAGGTGGAGTGACAGCACCTGACAAGTGAACCGAAGGATGGCGGGCGCCCGAGCGCCGCGGGCGCCCGAGCGCCTGGCCTGGGCGGGGGCCTGCTGAAGCTGCCCGTTTCAAGGGCGTGGCTCGGCCTGACATTTCGGGACTCAGGTCTTCCTGCCTGTCCAAAAAAAATCAACGTAAAACCAGCATCTGCAGGGGCCAAAATCAGAAGAGGAAAACAAGAAAAAGGTTCAAAACTCCTCCGTCTCCTGGGCTATGGCCTGCCCATCTGGGATTGACCACTTCTTCATGGACCTGCTTGGGTGCTTGAGGCACCCTGCCCGAAGGATGCCAAGGCCCAGGCCACCATGGGATCCGTGGGATCCATGGGATGGCTCGTCACGAGAAGAGCCCACCACTTGGTTGATCTTGCCTAAAGCACGTCTAAGCAACCCGGATCCTTCGCCAAGATCATGTTGGGGGGCGAATGAGCAGGAAGAGTGGCTATTGCTATTGACTATTATTGACTTGAAGGACGTTACAAGCGACTCAGAAAGGAACTGCATGGTTGCCACATTTTGCCACGCCTTTTATCTCCATCAGCTTCTGCCTCACAGCCTCACAACACACGCATATGACTGGTGCTTACTCGGAGCTCACATGGATGCATGAGGTGCCTCCGGCAAGGAGGTCCTATTCGGCCTACTCGGCCTCGTGGGACGTGTGGCCTGGCTGCAAGGCAATATGACGATATGTGACCGTGCCAAACTCGCTTGGTGGTCAACCTTGTGCCGACGGCTTGCAGCTGCAGGACTTTCACATGTCTCACCTCCATTCCCCGAAACGTCCCGCCTGCATCTCCCCGCCCCTTCCGCCAGCTTTAGCGTCGCAGCTCGCGGAATATCGTGGCACGCCCTCTCAATGAGACTGTCCGCTTGGTTTTGCAACTCTGCCCCCCCATTCAGAGCCGTCCTGCGGACTGGGCACAGCAAGTCAAAACGGTCCGCATCAAGGGCATCATCATGCTGCTCTGTGGGTCCTGAAAAGCTTGACACGCTTGTCAGGGACTCGATTGCATTGCACCACTCTTGGGTAGCCAGCTAGCGATCAAAGCCCCCAGCCACCTGCACCGCTTAGCTTTTTCCCACTGCACCTTCGCAGCAAAGTTCCGAAAATGCGTCCAAGGGCGTAGCATACAAGGTCCCGCGAAGCTTTCAAAAGCCGAAGTGAAAAACAGCCAGCAAGAGACCGCACTGACCAACTGGCACAGTGTTTAAGGCTCATATGGCCATGGGTCAAAAAGCCGCACCCCCAGTGAACATCCCGATCCCCACTAAAATAGACTAAAATGGGAGGTGAATTCACCTACCCCAAAATGGTACCATCGGTTTTGACCCACAGCCATATGACTTCATTGACACAAAACTCTTGCAGGGCGGTGATGTGCCATGCCCTCCCTCAGGAATGACGCGCCGGGCTAGCATCAGACTTGCGGCATGGGGCTTTGGCCTGCACGCACACACACACACACACACACACTGCATCCGCATGTCCGTGCTGCATTCACAGATGGCAAACCAACTCAAAGACACAAGAAAAAAAAGGGGAAACCAAGCACCGAACAACCAATAGAAAACACAAGAAACAAAAAAGGGGGGCAACCAAGCACCAAGAAAACAACCAATAAAGGTCAGCATGTCTGAGAGCTTGCGCCGCGATGTCTCTTCCGCCGTTTTTGCGTTTTTGCCTTCGAGTCTCCGGGCCACGCAACTTCGCGTGCACGCGTTCGCGTACGGCTTCGTCTGGGCTTGGAGAAGCACAGGGCATTCCACGAGGCTCTGGGTACGTCTCAAGTTCATCCTTCGACGTCTGTCGTCAAGCAAAGCGCCAAGGTGATGATGTCATAGGCCGCAGCACGCATGTCTTCTCGCGGCGCGTGTAGGTCGGCACCACCCTCAAATGCCAGGCTGTAGGCGGTAACCATTGTGTCGCGAATGGCCGTCTCCAAAAGCCTCGCCATGCAAAGAAAGGAATTATAGAAAATGCATCTTGCAGCTTGGACGCTGTGTTGAGTTCTTAGTAAGGTTAAGGGCTTCATAGAACGTCTCAAAGCCGTGCTCAACGCGAATCTTACTGTGCACCTGATATGTTTGCCCTGCCCTCAGGGCATATTCAGATTTGCTAAGGGCATACTTAAGTCGGCTACAGGCGGCCTAGGATGACACAGAACGAGTGATTTAATTCTTTGCTTGCTCGACATGGAGTACGTAACTATACAAGCAATTTTCAAACATCACGTGGATGAGATCAAAGCACCGTTGCAAACGGGGATTTGCTCGTAAATCCTCTGAGTTCACTCCCACCTGTGCGAGGCTGCCGCTTTTACGTTCTGCACGCCAGTGTTGGAGAAGTCACTGCCAGACAGTACCTGGAACGCGCGCAGCATGACAGCCCTGCATTAGCACATCCGCTTCATGAAGGCCAATTTCGGAAAATCGGAAACATGACTTCTGCTTGGGCAAGTAGCCATTCAGGCATGCACCTGTCAAAAGAGGGGCCTTCAACAAAGTTACTCAGAGAATTGCAGCGTTGGCTCCCTGCGTCCGAAGGGCTGTCTTCAAGCCCATCGAGGCTTCGAAGGCTAAGATTCCGTCAAAGGTCTCCAGACCAAGACCTCCTCCAGGAACTGCGTCGGGAAGAAAGTTTTGGCGGCTGAAGGCCATGTCAAAGTCCAAGGCCGCCAAGAAAGTATATTTTCCTTTCAGCAGCATGCATAAGTTCAGAAGATCCAAACCCCAATCCCCCGCAAAAAAGGCCCAAGGCCATGGTGGAGCCTTGTTTGGAGGAAAGCTAAGCGGGTTACCTATGAAACACACTACAAGGAAGCCAACAGCTCAGGGGCGAAGCCAAAAATGATTTCAAGGAAAGGCATGTCTGTAGAAGGCTGGCAATGACTGCTAGTGCTGACTGGCCTATCAAAAGAAAGCACATGACGCTTACCACAACACAAGCGACCAACGTGCGGCCAAGGATTCGACCAATGTGCGGTGGCTTGATCACCAGGTTGTTCAGATGCGCATTGCAATGGATGCCCATACCTTGCAAACCATGAAAAAAGGAAAACATCTAGAATCTAGACCAACAAAGTCACTGAACGCGACCCTCTTGGCTCCATCATGTTTCTGAGGAGAGGCACGTTCTGGTCTGACATTAGGAGTTGCCTCCAAACATACACTCCCTAGCAACATGCGACACGAGGCGACCGAATCCGGGCGGGTGCCCCAGCAAACGCCTAGGAACTCTCATTCAACTCCCGTCCAAAACCTAGAGAATTGCTTCACGCTTGGGCACTGTCCGGGTAGGTGCCCCATGCGATGTCTGCAGAATGCAAGGCCTTCAAGGTCGCGCCGCATTCCCATCCCAAACGCCAGGCGAGCCACAAGATCACAGATGGCTCAGACTCGTCATAGTGCCACTGCTGCATGCGCTGCCTGGCTGCCTCCCAAACCTGGTGAAGCGCCTCCGGCACCTGCACGACCTCCTTTGCAGCGGCTGGGGCGTGCTCGGGTAAACGAAGTCCCTTCTGCTTCAGCTGGCCAAGGACATCTGCGGTGGCCATGCCACAGCACACCAAGTCAGAGGTCTCCAGCACTTCGTCAGAGCCGCGGCCCTGCAGGATACACTGCTCCAACTGCTCGCACAGGTCTGACACCAGCGGCAACAATTGCAGCAGGCCTCCAATCAAATGATCACCCAGCCGTGCGTTGCCTAGAGTCTCAAACACGACGCAATGTCGCGTCATCTTTGGCAGCATCCAGGCAGGCTCAGCTTGGTACAAATACGATCCCAGCGGCTTGTTGGCGCAGTCCAGCCCCGCTTCCGATAAAACCTTGTCAACCATATCCGTCATGCACAGCTCTGTCTGCGTAGTGTGCTTGAAGCAGCAGCCCCGCACGGACTCCTCCCCGCTGTTGCCCACCTTCTCAACCGGGAAGCCCTCGTCTCGATTCCCGCAGCCCTTGAGGCGGAACCACTTGCCCCGAACCTTCACCAAGGCTGAGCGAATACCAGAGGTAACTCCGCGCAAGGCACTGGGGGCCTTTGCACGCGAGCTGCTCCTCGGCAATATCGCTTCATCCCCATTGGCCGGTTCCCAAACCAAGTGAAGAGAAAATCAAAACATCAGAAATATGCAAGTCAACACAAGGAAATAAGGCCGAGCGTCAGGGGCACTTTGAGCATGGGCATGTCTTTCAGCTCCGGCGGCCACCAAACATCTCTGCTCCCTTCGGACTGCCAATCCGTCGCCGGCATCCCCGGCAGTACCGCGTTCGCGTACTCCACGCCCAGCGATGCCATGGGCTGCTGGCGGAGTCGGACCTCAGCGCTGGAGTCCGAGTCCACGGACCAGCGCTCAGGAAGGTCCTGCACCTGCCAGCTCCGATGCGAGGCAAAGCCTGTATACATGGACCTTTTTTCGTCTCTCTCTCTCGTTCTCCCTCCCAAAATTTGGGGGTGGATCAGTATTCCGAACCGGCCCCCACATGACCAGGCGTAACCTTTCCGCATTTTATGGGACATATGTCATCTTCTTAGTGCCTTCCCCCCATGGTCATCCCATGTTCAACGGGTCCGTCGGCCTGGCCCGGCCACGGGCACAACACCACAGGCAGGCGCCCCACGAAGAGGGACTCCTCTGCCGCCAGCTGCGCGGCCGCGGCGCAGACGCCGCAGCTACCGCTGCAAGCGTCGCGGCAGAAGCGGCGCTCGGCCTTGTCCAGGGTCATGCCCATGGAGCCCATCTCGTAGCCTCCGCACAGGGCGCAGAGAAAAAAGGGAAGGGCTTTCTGAATGCTCTCCAAATTGTTTCTCTGATCTTGGCAGAGCTGATTTCAAATCGAGTGTGTCTGCGCAGCTGAGGCCCAGCAAAGATGGCGATGCGGAGGTGATGAGATGTGTTCTTTTGGCACCACCAAAACAAAGCCAAGTTGACACAGCAGCGAGAAGAAAAAAGGAGCAGGTGCACAAGAAGCAGCACTGAAGAAAAACGAAAAGCCGAGGATTTTTTCGCCGCAAAGTAATCAAACGACAAGCAGCCCAACTGCTCCTCACTTGTCATGCCAAGATCTAGGTTGAATGTCACGGACTGAGGCAGTACCTCTTGAGCAACGTCCTCGTTCCCTGGCGGAGCTACGAGGAGGCCAGCCCACTGAGAAACCATAGTCACCGCGCAGGAGAGGCAGGGACATACCCAGCTGCCAATATATCTCGTCTCCGCGTGCTGGGATCGAGGAATGAACCTCAGCATCAAACGATGCATCGAAATGCATCGAAGCTATATGGGGGGGGGTTGATGAAAAGGTCCGGTGAACATGGGATCACCAGGGAAACCCGCAAAAAAAAAAGATATTTCAACCACTCAATGCGAAAAGGTTACCCTGTGGGGGCCGGTGTGGCACAATGATCAACCCCAAATTTCTGCTTTCACATCTCCTGGCGCTAAAGAGGACACGCAAAACACGCAAAGAAAAAAAAAAAAAACGTTTCATGAGCCACCGAGCTGCTGCAGATCGGCAAGAGAACTCACCCTGCCAGGCAGAAGGCGACGTACCGTCTCCTGCGTTGCTCTGCGTTTCCATCGCTTCTCACGGAGGCAACATGGAAGCCTGGCAGGAAATCACACATTTATGCAGGAGCAAAGCATGGCACGGCAAAGCAGCAAAGCATGGCAAAGCAAGCAAAGCATAGAAAGCAGCAAAACAGCAAAGCATGGCAAAGCATGGCAAAGCAGCAAAGCATGGCAAAGCAGCAAAGCAGCAAAACTGCAAAGCAGCAAAGCAGCACAGCATTGGAGCATTGAAGGATTGGAAAAAAACCAAGTAAAGCGAATTTCGTCCGGTCCTCCTTCAGCGCCCGCAAGAACTCCACCCAGGCAGCGGCATCCCCCAGCGCCTGGCGCTGGCAGTGCCGCAGCGAGGCCTCCACGTGTTTCGCCAGCTGAGGCCCACTGCAGCGGAACTGCCTGCCACCGAGTGCAGCGCCAAAAACCAAATGGCTGTGGTTGTCAAAACCAATGAGTGGGTCAACACCAGGCTTCCTAATTGGTTGATGTTCACTGGGGGCTAACCGGGCTTTGGATTTTGACCCATGGCCAATTCGCATTGCTCAGGCCCTGAGAATTGGGGCGCAGGATTGTCCGTTTTTTTCTGACTTCCCCCGCTTTCCCGGGGAAAGGATGCACATGGAATGTTGCGTCGAATGTGTTGTTTTCTTGGGTTTCTGTTCTAACAAACCACCTCGTGGGAATTCCAGTGGCATGCCAACTTCCATGGCACGGAGTCTGCACATGCCCAATTTTGCGTTGGGTGCTGCTTAAAATGAAAAGCGAATCCGCTCGAAAGCACGCGCTCGGATTGGTTTAGGGTTGGTTTGGGGTGGGTTTAGCGTGGGGTGGATGTAAGGCTTGTTTAGGGGTTGTTTGTTTTCATAATTGTTTGCTTGGTTTTGTA